CACCGTGTTGACCAGGATGGTCTCGATCTCTTGACCTCGTGATCCACCCGCCTCGGCCTCCCAAAGTGCTGGGATTACAGGCTTGAGCCACCGCGCCCGGCCGAGGAAAGATTTAAATCAGATGCAGCCAGATGCCTCATCAAAGGAAGGATGTAATTTTTGAAAAGACATGATGCTTGCTTATTTTTTAAAAGTTCAAATGGCCTTATGCTTTCTTGGAAAAGTTCAATAAGCATAATGAAATGTCAGGGGAAACGACATATCTGAGTTAAATATTTAGATAAAGAAGAACTAGGCAGAAGTCATTTTTATTCTTCCAGTTTATCAGGGATTATTTTGAATGTTTGTTTCTCAAAGGAGGAGATGGGGTTAATAAACTACGGAAAGGAGCTGAGAACAGCCTTGCAAGGCAGAAGATATAAATGATGGTTTTATAGGAAATAGTATGACGTTATTAATTTTACCCTTTGTAAGCCACAAAGGGTTAAAAATTGTTCTCAACTTTTAATTTTTTAATTTTTGTTTTAAATTTTTGTAGATATAGGTTCTCATTATGTTACCCAGGCAGGCCTTTTGAACTCCTGGCCTCAAGTGATCCTCCAGCCTCCCAAAGTGCTGGGATTACAGGTGTGAGACACTGCACCCAGCCTCAATTTTTTGTTTTGAATGTAGCTGGTTTTTTTTTTTGAGACAGAGCTTTGCTCTTGTTGCCCAGGCTGGAGTGCAATGGCTTGATCTCAGCTCACTGCAACCTCCACCTCCTGGGTTCAAGCAATTCTCCTGCTTCAGCCTCCCAAGCAGCTGAAATTACAGGTGCCCACCACCACATCAGCTAATTTTTTTGTATTTTTAGTAGAGATGGGGTTTCATCATGTTGGCCAGGCTAGTCTCGAACTTCTGACCTCAAGTGATCCACCCGCGTAGACCTCCCAAAATGCTGGGATTACAGGCATGAGCCACCATGCCCAGCCTGAATATAAATTTTAATATGTTTCGCAGTTAGGTAACCAGGCATAAATGGCAAAATAATTCAACAACTTAAACCTTGCTTCTTGGAAATTGCTAGATGTATATCTTTTGAAATCATTACAGTCTATCAGATGGGCCAGGTTTGGTGGTGCACGCCTGTAATCCCAGCACTTTGGGAGGCAGAGGCAGGGGGATCACTTGAGCACAGGAGTTCGAGATCAGCCTGGACAACAGGGCAAAACCCTGTCTCTGCCAAAAATACAAAATTTAGCCAAGCATGCTGGCATACACCTGTAGTCCCAGCTTGGGAGGCTGAGGCAGGAGGATTGATTGAGCCCAGGAGGCTGCACTGAGCCATGATTGCACCACCGGCACTCCAGCGTGGGTAACAGAACAAGACCTTGCCTCAAAAGTTAATAATTAATTAATTAAAGTCTACTAGATCAATTTTTTTTTTTTTTTTTTTGAGACGGAGTTTCGCTCTTGTTGCCCAGGCTGGAGTGCAATGGCGCG